AACTATTATCAACAGAATATAAGCAGATAATTTATGTAAAAACAAGATACACTAATCATGCGAAACATTATGATCCCCTGACTAATATTGTGTCGACCCAAAAGAACAAACAACTGCGATGCACTGTATATTCCAATACCTTTCATTCAGAACCAGCATCAACCTTTTTCAGCAATTTAATGTACGTCTACATCTGTTGGATCAGACAACATGGGCCAGCCTTCGCCACCCACGCCGTCGCCCCATGACCCTGTTGCACTTCACTGTTCCATCCTTGGACTACTCTGTTACATTTTGACCACTGTAAATGTTCATTTGCTCTCTAATATATCCCACCCACCAACAGGTGCCATGACGAAGAGGTAATTAGTGTTTATCTCTTCACCTGTCAGTGTTCATAATGTTACAGTATGACTGATTGGTGTATATGTGTACTCTGCTGCTCAGAAATCTACTGAAGAGAGTCAGTGTAGCGTCAAGTTAATCCCAGTCATAAATGAGACTAAGAAGAAGCAGCGCAGCCTGCTTTGAGATCTTTTCTACAGTCTGTTATTCTGACCACTTGTCAGTCACGGTGAAAGACAGGCAGTATATGAATGGAAGGTAACAGTAAAGGCAGGCAACAAACACTGGGCAGCAAGCTGAGTGAGACAGAAGATCAGTTTGCTGCAATTACTGTACGTTTTCTTTTAAACTCCAAGGGAGTGACCCCTTTCCTGGTAGCTCCCTGCAACCACCTGAGACTGTGCCAGTTGTTTTGACGTCCATAAGCTATAAATTAATTAAAGAAAAAAGGATCCTAACCCTGCTGTCTGCTATTGACCTGTTCTACAGTAATATATTCCACATATTGCACCTTCAGTAAAAGGCTACAAATTGCTCCTTGTGGCAAGCTAAGCTGGTGTATTTAAAATGAATAGTTCCCTTTTTGTCCCTTTTGTAGGTGTGTGTATGTGTACATTTTCCTTTATACGCGTGTGTCAGTAAACCTTCCATTTTGTGCTGACTGTTGAAAGGTGGGCTATCGGCTCAGATACCTAAAAATGGAAGATGATGTTTTTCTGACATGTCTATCACGTGTTTTACATCCTCTGAGCACAAACACATGCATATGTTTGCACACAATATTTTCTATCTGTAGCTGTCATTCAGGAAAAACAAATTGAATCACTTCTTGAGCCCTTCATAAAGATTTTTAGACCTCCACATGCAATATTTGATCCCTAAAAAGTGTGAGTGGCGGGCTGGATGTGGCAGATGATCCGAGCATGAAGACAGAAGGCATGAAAGAGGATGAAGGAGGAGCAAAAACTAAACATTTTGCTGAAATTTTTAATACATGACATTTACCAACCTTGTCTTCCACTTCAGCGCAATGACTCGCACACACTCTCTCTATCATATCACTAGCTTTTTGATAGTATTCTGGATTTGGGAGAGAGCCAAGGGAAGCTTTACTAAGTTGAGATAATAGCAATGTGCATATGCGAAGACATTGTATGTCTGTGTGTGTCTGTAGTTGATATGATTCCTCTTGAGTGTGGATTGTGAGGTGGAAGAGGAGATTACTGCACCACGCTTCTATAATTACCTCTCATCTCTCAGCCAGTGCTCTTACACACAACGGGGAACGCCAGGCTACCGCACACTCCAACACATGCACACACGCAGTGGGGTGCACTTCTGTACAATGTTGCAGGCTGAGAGGAAGTTATTTCTAGAGGGCTACATTTCACTCAAATTGTGATTGGAGACCGCCCACACTGCCTTTAAGCAACACAGGTCAGCCTCGCTCCGAGCATGCAAACACACACAGAGACGCACACACTCATCCCGCTGAATCCCGTTCACCAGCTACTGGTAAGTAAGAAGAATGACTCACCTGTAACCGTCCTTCCCACACACACACACACAAAACACCTAAGAACCCATTTTCACAAGTCATGCACACACATCGCACTGTAGACTTTTTCTGCTTGGTCCCAATAATGAAGAAAAGTCTCCTATCATCTGTTCTGTCTCTGCTGCACACACTCATGTGCACTTTGGGCCACTTTGTGGTCATCTGCTTCAATAATATAGAGAAAAAAAATGCCACAAACTAAAGATGCAATAAATACAGCATACAAGTTGCTTCACATTTTCTTGGCAGGAGCCTGCCTTAATCACCATGCAAACTAGCAGGACTAAGTATGACTTAAAGTTGACAGCGACTTGCAAAGATGAATTAACCATGCTATTCACAGCTTTGAAAAAGTCGTTAATAACTATGCCAGAAGTAAATTGCTCC